TGAGATGAAAAGAAGAACAACAAACTACTGCATTTACTATTTCAGAGCAGAAAACAGGACAGAATTTAACTCCATCATTAACATCTAAATAATCCTCACGTTTCACTTCAGAAACTTTTCCTATTTGGTGGAAGGGAGTTGAAAGAGACAATTTCCTTCCCAACTTTGTGGAAATCATTTCAATAACTTAATAGTTATAGCCATAGACAAACAATTTCTCCAAGCATGTTGAATTGAAAGAAGAACAATGGAACAAATCGAGATAATTGCAAGATCCAAATATCTTAATCTGAACCATGATATTTCATTTCATAACATTAATCCAGAGGATTTGTAATTAAATTCGAACCCCAAACCTTCTTATTAAGCCATCAGAACCAGCGCTCAAAGCCAGTGACTCGTCCTGGAAGCAGCAGTCAAGCAGTGCAGCTTCGGAGGGAGCTTCAAGTCTGAGTGCAGAATTATCCACATCGTACAAACGAAGACTCTGTCCAAAAAAACCAAAACCTAGAACTTCATTCATAGTGAACGAAAAGAAATGGCAGAAACGTTGAAAGAATTTGGAACACCACAAGGAAGACTAACAGAATCCCAGGAAGAAATAAGGAGATTGTTGGAACGGGGAGCGAATTGGATTGTGGAGATGGCATCTTGGATCGGATTTTGAAAATCCAGCAAAACCCTGTTGGGTTCCATGTCTGGGGATCGAGGTTAGACGAACAAAAGAGGCGGGAAATGAAGTAATAGAACAAAATTTGAGTTGGATGAGACGCTCTTTCAAGCGGTCTAATAATAAATGAAGGGTTTTTGAAAGAATGATCCCTGGCGGATTGGCAGTGCGGTATCAGACGCTCGGCTGTGTGTATGGCTAAGCAAACTCTGCCCCTTTAGACTTTCGTCATCCAACCCCTCCTCTCTCTCCAACAAAGTACGTCTCTCCTTAATCGAGTCTGGACTCCACACAATTCTTCCCTAAACTAGCCGGGACTCATCCAACCCCTCTCCCCTTAATACTGAGGCTAGACTCCTTTTTGAACACAGATCTTTCCTAAATTAAGCCTATGTGGGACTTTCATCATTCAACCCTCGAATAAAGTAGACATTTGAGGATGACTAAGTTTAGGGCAGAGCTCTGATACCATGTTAGAAGAACACAACCCTACACAATGGTATGATATTATCCACCTTGAGCATAAGCTCTCATGGCTTTACTTCGAGCTTCCCAAAAGGTCTTATACTAATAGAGATAGTATTCCTTGATTATAAATCTTGATCGTTTCCTAAATCAGCCGATGTGAGACTTTCATCATCCAACAAGGACAAGCTTGTTGAGCAGACTCCCCCGAGTGGGCAAGAGGCCCTGGCACTTAGGTCAAGCAAGCTCAAATTACATTTGCTTCGGAATCAATTACCAATTCAAGATCCACAAAAATGAATATTAGAAATGATAGTAACCCCGCCGGTCATGAGCAATGTTGTCGCTCAGACACACATCATCTAAGGAAAAGTTCTTGTATCAAACGGTAAAGAATTACTCCATGAAAAGTAAAATTCAAATTATATTGTTCATCGAATATTTAAATACAATAGTACTTGTTTGAAATTCGAATCACTCTACTAAGATCGATAGCTTGAATAATCAATCTAAACTATTTATAATTGCAAATAAACCTAGCACGGACTAAATGAAAGTAAAAATGCTTTTTTTACCAAAAATTTTCAGTAACTTTCATATTTTATTACTATAATTAGACTATATTTTATGTCATAATTACCCACCACGTAAATAAGTCTTAAAATACATTAAAGAAATATCGTAACTCTAAATTATCATCCACTCTAAAATCGTAACTATCTAAAAATAAATGAAACTTTATTCTTACGTGGCATGAATTGCAATATCATGTGATAATTTGAACAACATTTTATTCCCTTCCTCAGTTTATATTGTATAATTGATGTCTTGGTTTATATCAGAACAACTCCATCTATTTATTTAACTAGTTAGAAGTGAATTCGTATGTTCGTATCTCTTTATTTGATAAAGTTCTTAAAATGGTAGATTTCAAATATATTGTTTGTTATCAAAAGGTGTCTAAGTTTGTCCAACTTACCATTTTTTTCTTTTTTAAAAAATATTTATTCAAATTAAAAATTAAAAAGAAAATCTCTTAATGTTTTATTCTTAAATCGATGACTGGCCGTCACTATTGTAGCTAATGGTTTTATATCATTGGATCTTTTGAATCTACATCCAGCAGATATCGAGAGACAGACTAAAAACTCAGATTTATGAGAGTTATTCCGCTCTAAAATTTTAGTTTATTATTTAGAAATTGAATGTATATTCAAGAATTATATAGTTTAAATTATAATAACCGTGAATGCATGCATAGAATATAGGTAGGTTTGGAATTGATGATTAGAATTTACGATGACTCTAGCTTCACGTAGTACTACAGTGGTTTGATGCTATGATTGGAGGGCATGTAGCACATATGTCTACTGCATCCTGCGGAATCCCCGATGATTGTGCTGCGTGTTAAATTGGGAACATGAGTATTTCAGATTGTCGAGTTTGGTGCTAGTTCAAGCCACCAGAATGTCTAGTAGACAAACCGTATTTATCCGAGAGTGAGTCTTATATATGAGTTTGAAATTCATGTTAAACATAAATAGATTTAGTAGGTAAAGAATAGTTAAAATATCTTAAACCTACCACGACGCCTAATTACTAAAAGCTTCATTAGGAGAGATTAAACTGATTCGACAATCCCCGAATGCTAACACAGACTCGTTACTAGGAAAGAATGTCATGACCGTTGACAAACGAACTTGAGACAATGATCTGACTTGGATCCACCTACTAATGAGCTAGATCGAAACAATAGGAAGCATGCGTTCGACTCATGATTTTATATAAAAAGTAGTCAAATTTCCAATTTAAGTATACTATGCACTCAACGGGTTAAATCTAGATAAATTATAATAGCTCAAGCACACCACTGGCAGATATTGTCCTCTTTGGGCTTCTCCTCAAGACTTTAAAGGATGTTTCATTCTCCTCCCCAACCAACGTGGGATATCACAATCCACCCCTCTTCAGAGCCCAACGTTCTCGCTAGTACTCATTCCTTTCTCTAATCGATGTGGGACTCCCACCAAATCCATCCCCCTTCGGGCCCTAGCGTCCTTGCTAGCACTCATTCCTTTCTCCAATCGATGTGGGACCCCCATCAAATCCACCTCCTTCAGGGCCCAGCGTCCTTACTGACGCACCGCCTCGTGTCTACCCCCTTTCGAGGAACAACCTCCTCGCTGGCACATCGCTCAATGTCTGACTTTGATACCATTTGTAACGGCCCAAACACACCATTTGTAAATTTTGTTAAAACCTTGCTTGAAATGAGAGAAAGCCACGAAAATTTGAGATGGGTCAAAGTTTCGTGAGTTAGAAGCCAAATTTATGTACAATGCATGATCGTACGATAGATATCACTAGAGTATGCGTTGGGTTCGCCAAGTCTTGTGGTAGCACCATCTTGCCTTATTTCTTCCATATGCAACATACTTCGACCTAGTTTTCTTGTCCTTACTTTACGTTTTAATGGAAATCTTTCTTAAAGCACTCGGAAATTTTGTTGAAATTACTCTTATCTATTTGATCAACCGAGGAAGAATATTAGCATGTTTAGGTAGCAGAAGGACCGAGCGTATCGAAATACTAGCTTAGAACAAGAGTGAGCATACAATCACTAAGATGTTTTAGGGATAATCTAACCACTTGTAAGCAATAAAGGCAATGCATAACGAACAAGGATAACACATAGGAGTCCAACACGAGCGAGGCACTTGAAGATATCCCTACTTAGGTTCACGAGCATAAGGATAAAAAAAACGGCCAGTTGAAGCACAAATACAAGATTGTACTGTCGCTAGGAATCACCTTGTTTCACCAAAATCTATAATCAACGTGATTGCTCTGTGTCAAGGTGAAAGTAAATTGTCAATCGACTTTGATATATTAGTTCTCATCAATAAGCAATTCCATCACCAACATATAGTTGCTCCATATTCACAAAACCATCGTACCCATACTGATATGGAATCAACTCAAAGGAAAGTATGAAACGAATTACCTTGATGATCAAGATCAAGAGTAAAGAAAACTCGTTTCTAAACTCGTGATTCAAATCACTCCACAAGAGGTTTGATCAATACCACTTGAATGACTCTTACATGCAAGTTCTAAACACAAGAATTTGCAAAAAAAATCCTAGCTTTCAACAAAGTTAAAAAAGAAATAGAAATTCTATTATTTTTAATTTTAAAATGTGATGTCTCTAATGAAAGAAACAAATGATTTATAGAGCCTTTACAACCTTCCTAACTTCCATATTAAAATGGACGGGTGGAATATGTAACCTGAGTTACAATATAACTTCAACACCTATATTAAAAACTATTTTAAATATGATAAACAAATATTTAAATTATAATTAAATAGTGCAAGGAATGAAATGTGCTTAGTCATCCTTGGACTAGTTCCATAAATTTAGCTGACTTCATTAAATGCAACTTAAAGTGTACTTAATGCATCTTTTTCTTGAAGCTCAACTTTTCACAACATACAAGGGAGATATCCAATGTCTTCTACAATTTTTTTTGTTGAGCTCACCCTAGCTTGAACGTAAGTGTATAAGGTTTGTTGTAGCTCTGGTCGTGGTTCATATCACGTGCATACAATAAATAAATATTAAAACTGCTTCAATTAATTACTCCTAAATATATTATTAATATGTAGTCCAATAAAATAGTAGTTAAAATGTTTAATTATTTCTCGTATTTGTAATTGTATTCATGAAATATATATTTTTTTAAAAAAATACAAATTTAGTAGGTCATTTGAAAAATGTAAAAAGGTTTATTTATTTATGTAATATTCTAATTAAAAAAATTTCTATATAAAACCGGGATGTCTTTTCTTTTTCGACAGCTAATTGTAGAAATTCCATGAATGAAGAATTCATTTTGAAGTTTCAGAGCACATTTTCATAAGATCCTAGGATCCTGCGCGGTGTAATTGACGGCGATAGTTGTTTTCTGCTTCTGCAATGGCGGTGAATTTGAACTGAAGCCACGGGTTCGTCTTTCATTCCTTCAGATTTCATCCATCACGTTCGACCGCCTGAAAAATTTCAGCCCCAATTCCTCAACTGTGATTGAATCGCCATTGGAAGCTTTAGATCGGTGTGCGGATCTTATGTAAGCGGACGATTTTTCACTTGCAGTTGATTACCTCTACTTATGGCGGGGAAGCCTAGCTCGGTTTCCTTCAGGGTTCCGTACCGGAACCTCCAGGATGCGGAAGTAGAGATGGTGGCTGTCGATGAACAGCAGCTCCAAGGGATTGATCTCAATTCTCCTTCTTCTAGTAGATGTGCCAATGGAAGCCCAGACGGTTCGTCGTCAACGCCTCATGTTAGATCTACGCCAAATAGTTTGATTATCTTAATTCTCAGTTGTACTATCGCTGCCGGTGTTCAATTTGGTTGGGCATTACAGCTCTCCTTACTAACTCCCTATATTCAGGTATTGTTTCTCGCTTGCGTCTCTGATTTCGTTTTCGTCTATGAATCGATAGGTGTTTGGATTCAGTATTGACGTATTATTCAAATTGTTTTCTACGAAAATCGTCGTCTGATCATTCTTTAATTACGACATTGTTTAGTTGCATGGTGTATTTCATGTACGTTGTGTTAGTATAAGGCTTTTCTAGCTCATGTCACTCGACGGTTATATTTGTCTATATTTATTCGGTTGCTAATTTCTTCAACTTTTTGTGTAACTGTGTAGACACTTGGAATCGAGCATGCATTTTCTTCATTTATTTGGCTTTGCGGTCCCATCACTGGTCTCGTGGTAGGTGAAATTCTTCCCTGAATTTTCTGTTATTGTCAATGAAACATTTGTTCATGATTGATAGAAAATGTATCTACTTAACTTTCGGTGTAAACTAAACCGAAAATTAGGATAAGCATGAAAATTAAAGCTTCTGTAAATGTATACTCCTAATACATCAAAACTTATTGCCCATGGATAAAGAAAAACCATTTCAACATTAAAAACAACAAAAACTAGAGCAAATATATAATAATGGATTCAAAATTGTACCCAAGCATCGCCCATTGGTTATATTACCGATTCATAACTTGAAAGCTTCTCTAGCTCTTTGCTAAGAGGGGTTAAAACTCCAGAAATAAGAAATATTATGCATTGAAACAATGGCGTACCATATGTATGGATGAATGGAGCCAGTTTTATTTATTATGTTATCGACCACCATGGATCCAAATCTACTAGTGTTGTAAATTCATATGCATTTGCAGGTTTGGGTTCATGCCATGGTCACTTACCTAGTTTACTATGAGTGTTTTTTGGCTATTTGTAGGGCTAGTTGATCGTCTCGTTGGGGTAATAGTGACTATTAGATATGTATAATGTATAAATATACATTCCATTCATGACATGCTGGATTGGTTGCTTTTCTCTGAAGTATACTATTAATGTCTGTTGCCATATGGTTCTCTTTTTTATGGTTCTTATGTCTACAATTTGAGGCACAGAAGATTAGGACATGGTGATCATTTAGCAGTCTGTTGCCTAGCTTGTGTCTAACATGCAGTCTTCAAAGAAAGCAAGTTAGTAATGCTCTGTTGGTTTGCATTATAAGAAGACCTGTTATGTATTAAAAGGCTCATGGTTCTTGATTTCTAAAGATTGGCTAGATATGATCTTTTTTTTTTTTTTTTTTTCTTGTTGCATGAAGTTAAGTTCCTCCTTTTTCTTCTTCAAATATATGTGTGACTTGTTATGCCCTCGATTATCAAGAACATATGGATTGACTATTTCAAGCTCTTTCCTGGGACTGGATGGAAATTTTTGAACGTTCAAAAACTTTTTGTTCTTTGGTTACTCTTCTGCTGATCCTTGGCTCTTAATTATAGTCATTTACATGGTATTTGCGTTACTTCTGATTCTTTCTTTCTGATGTAATGGATAAAGTTCTGTTGAAGCGTCAGAAATATTCATCTTCGTTGATTTTGATTTTTGTTTTTTTTTAATATTTGGTTCTTAGGTTCAACCATGTGTTGGTATATGGAGTGATAAGTGTTCTTCAAAATATGGAAGGAGGCGTCCCTTTATTCTTGCTGGGTCTTTAATGATAGCAGTTGCTGTAAGCTGTGTTTTTCTGGGTACTTGTTTTGTTTCCTTTTTGATTAACAACTATTGTCTAAAGCATTAGAAACTAAATGGTTATTTTTTATTTAAATAGGTGGTGTTGATTGGATTTTCTGCTGACATTGGGTATATACTAGGAGATACGGAGGAACATTGCAGGTTTGTTGGAGCAACTTAATGAATTGATTTCTGTTATTATCTTTCTTGGTGCTCTCTTGTATATTTTTTTTGTGAGCAAGCATGAATTCTAAATTGATTGTTCATGCTTATGCAGAGTATATAAAGGTACACGAACAAGGGCAGCTATTATTTTTGTAATAGGCTTTTGGATGCTTGATCTTGCGAACAATACAGTGCAGGTATTACCTACAAGGAATGGGTACTTATATTTTTCTTTCACTTCTGTGTTTAAAGTATTTGTATGAGTAAAATCAATTTTCTTGTGACCATCTTTCAGGGTCCTGCCCGTGCTCTTCTAGCTGATTTATCAGGTTACACCCTCCTCCTCAAAAAAAAAAAAAAAAAAAAAAAAAAAAAAAAAAAAAAAAAAAAAAAAAAAAAA